TCCCAATAATATTTTGAGAGACGTTGAGCGCAGCACCTCAAGCGCATTTCAGCGGCGGCTAACTAGCAGTTTGAGGTGGAAGAAGTGACCACAATAAATCTCCACCGGACTTCGTTGCATGAACTTATAGCTGTAGGCTGTTGTCGATGGGTGAGGAGCACAAAAACAATTTTTTGCAGAAATTAATAGACATAACGCGGTTTCTTTGGTGCATGCGAGATATGGTGAAGGATCAAATGCTGGGATGTACGACCATTTTTCGGTCTGCTTCGTTTGTGCAGCGCGGCATGCTGCTCCCAAAAGTTCTCCGTGTAAATGTTTTGATATTTTCCTGTCTGGGAAGTGTTGAAAATGATTTTTGCTGCTTTGTATTTCATGATGCTGTCGCTCAGCAGATTGCTTAGTGGCTATCTTTTCGGCAATCTCGAGCTTCCTTACTGAACTTGTTCCGACAGCACTGACCACATTGCGGATGCACCACAGTGAAGCCAGGGCAAGATGCCTATTCGTTAGCTCGTCAACTTCCATCTCTTCGAATCCTCAAAATGAACCCTTTTTATTCGTTTTGTGGGTGTGTATGTGTTCCGGGTTCATTTTATCGGTGGTTTTCAGCGCAGCAATCAGAAAAGCTAGGAGCCCGAAATTCCGGGATATTCCCTGCCCACGTATGATTCACAAATTTAACTTCAATCTCCACATATTCCTAGGCCGCACATGCAGATCCATGAATGCCACATCGGGGCACCCCACTGCCTCCAATCACTGTCACAGTTTATCGTCCTGAACTCCTAACCAGCAACTTCATTCCTCCCCACTATCCTGGCCCCCATCGCGCTCTTTGAGCTGTATCTAGGCAATCACCAACCAACCACATCCAGTGCTTCCATCCATCATCCCAGAGTCACGTGGTTCAACCGTCAGACATGGGGCGGCTGCCAAGCGCAGCTGGCTAAGCTCTCGCGAGCGGCGCCGCGAAATAGTGTCGGCGGAGATGATAGAGCGAAGCGCTGGAAGGCTCAAACACCATAGATCACGACCCAAGTAGTTTGCGTTGGTGGGGATGTGATGTTCGTCTTTTTTTCCTTGTGTACTGGCGAGTAGATACGCGTTGTTTGTGGATTGAGCGGTGCCAGTGCTGGTCGTGATTGTCAGCATCACAGCTGGCTGGCACTGCGTAGCAGCAGCGGAGGGTTTCGCCGAACTGTAACCGAGCTGCAGCACGCACATCCCCCTGTACACGGTCGGACCGGGCACTAGAAGGACAGAGAGCGCTCGAACGGGGCGCTCGCGTGGCAGCGATGCCCCTCCGCATTGTACCCGCTGCGCCTGTTCGATGTATGTGCGTTACCTGTTCGGAAGCTGCCCAGCTGGTCGTGCCAGAGATTGTCAGCAACGTAGGGGGCCGTCATCACCGACTTTCTTCCGAGATCTTTATGATCTGCCGTGTGCCGGTCATCTGTTCAT